AAAAACAGTTTTTACGCTCTCCTGTATAATTATACATTATAATTCGAGTGCCGCAAGATAGGCGGTTTTGCATCGACGAAATCACGGTTTTCATAATGGACGGCGCGATTCTGTCACTGTCCTTGTCTGAGACATCTGGTAATATGCACTTATTTTTTTGACGTTTCAATACAAGAAGATATGTCATTTTAGTATACTCTACACGGCCGTCCGATTGAGCTACTCCATCTACATACATATATACTTATGTTTGAGCTACAGTTCTTCATCTGAATAATCTATGTACGCAGTTTTTAGAACGAGCTTACTTTGCTCTACACTACTACATAGTTAAGCCCTAAATAAAAAAAATATCGCTATCACATTTAATACACATTTGTACTTACATTTCATGTAAAAATAACCTACAGCCGTTTCTTCAAAACTAAAATGCTTGAGTGTGCCAAATCCGTTAAGGTCTCCTTGGTTTGATTGGCTTCTAGAAATTATCGCAGTGTTTTACATGAAGACATATTATTTTCTTCTTAGTAATTTTGCTACGCTTAAAATCCAATTACGTATATGAGGCGTTAGGCAATAGTAAAGCGAAAGTGTATGCACGAAGATACTAGTTTCAATGCATGTATTGGTATAGTTGATATACACACACACATCCATCCTTATGTTGATGATGCTTGCCGATGAAACACAGTTTAGTTTGAAATGCGGAAGCTGAATTTATTGTAGTTGGAATAAGCTGAAATTGCAGTTGTAGTCGAAGTTCGGTGAGATGAGTGAATTTGCGTCGTTTATGTGTTTGGTGGTTTTGTATCAGCATTCATGCAGCAGTGGAGGTGAGTTTTTAAATGATTTATTCCTTAAATAGGATATTTGAATGTTGATTTAGCTTTAAAATATCTTTTTTGGCTTTTTGGTTGTTATTTAAATAGTTTAGTGATATTTTTATATTTATTTATAATTCTTATTTTTATTATAACTCCTTTTTATTCTAATTGTTCTCTTGCTATGTTGTTGCCACTGTTGCTGCTGCTGCCGTCGTTGCCGATGCCGATGCCGATGCCACCGCTGCTGCTGCTGCTGATGCTGCTGTTGTCGCTGTCGCCACCTCAAAAGTTGATTGCCCATGACTTTGACTATAGTCCTGACTCGCAACTGCGTCGGTTAATTACAAATGCTGGCCATAATACTCGGCGGGTGGGTAATGGGGATAGCCTTGATGGAAAGCCGGATCACCAGGTGGACGATGCATCATATGCGCTTGACTGTCCATCATATAGCCCATGGCATCATGGCCGTACGGTGATGGACCCGGATGTGGGGTGTAAACTGCAATGAAGAGAAGTAGAAAAACAAAATAATCAGAAATTAGAATTTTACTTAATTAAAATGGGGTTTTGCTGGTTTTAAGAAAATATCTAAGTAGTGTGCATATATCTATATATAAATGTATATATTTTCCTAATCTAGCAAAACATCGCCATAGTGCATGGCTCTCATTCTGAAGCTATTAATTCTTATTTCTAGTTGTAATAAGGAAGCGCACGCTCATTACTAAGTAGTCGCTGCTTTTACAACCAATGAGACAGCTTCGCTTGCCACTAACTCATGCAATGCATTGGAGCACGAATTGCAGTATAAACTGAAATGGTCGTCATGGTGGCTGACATGGAAAATTCACCGCCATAAAATATAAGCTTTATAGCTTTTGAGTATGTGTGACGAGTTTGGCGAGCTTGTAGAGGCCAGTAGTTAAGCATAAGCCCTGCGCCATACTTAGCTGCTAAGTAAGGATCTCCTAGTCTAATGCAATTTTCACACATAAAAGACAAGTGTCCTTTTCACTCAACAGCTTCCTTTTATTCTGCTTGATTTGCAGTATTCTTGCAAGGAAGCACTTACATATTCTTCTATCTCATCCTTGTGTTGCAAAAATGACATAGCGTCTCTCATTTGACGTTTTCTATGTGTTTCGCTACTTGATAATAAAGACAATGCACTCGTGCTTCTCAAGTTGCTTCCTCTTTCTTGCATCACTCGGCTTTTAACTGAGCGCATTGTCATTAATCAAGCAGTCAAATGTTGTAATAGTATAAGCGTGAAAGTGAGGATTTTAATTTTATTTTCTTGCTATGGTAGTCGTAGAAAGCAACTAAGTTAATTTATGTAGACATTAAACCAAATGTGAAGAAGTGAAAGGAATAAAACAAATGGAGGGACAGCAGATTTGGCTATCAAGTGACAGTAGTTGCAACAGTGAGTTACATATGAACGCTTAAATGTAAAAACTGGTAATGCATTTTTGGTTATTTGAAAACTGAACATAATTTTTTTTAAAACATTAAAACTGCCCAACAATTTTTTTTTACAGGACATAGTTTTATTAGTAATTTAAAGTATGGACATAAATTGTTAATCATTACAAACTGAAAATATATCTTTGATCAGTTAAATAAAAAAAATTGTAATTTTGAAAATTTTCATATTTCTTGGTTATTTCATAAAGTGAACATAATTATATGGTCTTCTCAAATGTGGACATAAATTT